TGAGATTTTGCAAATTTTATGCGTTTTTTTTTTTAAAAAAGTTATCAAGCTCTTAAAAAATCACCCGATACATATACGCTAGTCTGCTTACATTCTTAATGTATACGTCTTGTGACTTATTTACACTTTTATGTTTCGATCATGTTTAAACAATTAGTTTTTATTTTTCTTTACCGCCACTTATTAAAATTATAGTTTGCTTTGCTTTTTTTGCCATGGTGAGTTGTAAATTGTTGTTAATAGTGATTGCTGCCACTGTTCATCAAATTTATGCTGACATGCTCTCATTTGGAACATAAGTATATGTATATCGTGTTTGTTAAGAAGAAGATATTAAAAAAAATAACGTACGCTTGTTATATAATTTTTTATCTTTTTAATTATTCAAATAAGCAAAGTAGTTCCGCCTTCTTCTGTTGGCCGCCTAAATCGAAATATTTTCTTCGAATTGTTATTGAAGCATCAATAATTAATTAATTAATTATTTAATTGTTGCATGTAAATGACTAAAAAAGTAATTAATATAATATCGTGTACATTTTTCTTTTGCGGCAATGGTGTATAACATTGTTTAGTCAAGTTGCTAAAAAGGTTTGAAAGCAAGCCCAGTATTAATAATTACAATAAATACATGTCATACAATGCAAACTTTATTGAGAAATACTGTTGAATTCTCTGAGCAAGTATTTTTGTGAGCACATCCCTTCTCTGCCATTTATGTACATTAAAAATTTTAATTTTAAGTTAATATTTAATGAGTCGACACTTTATGTCCATTTTTAAGATTATCTTTTATATATAAGCTTTGCAACAAAACATCTAAATTTAAAACGGAAAACGTAATAAGATATTTTAAATATACTATATTGTTCCTCTTATTGTTTTGAAATATTCATATGCTCTCTAAATGCTAAGTTACAGGCTTATATTTGTATTTATCGTTGTCTAAATATTATTTGTATTATTCAACCAATTGTTTTTACTCTATATTTTTTCCTCTTTCATTTATTTCTTATTTGCGTGCTTTGTTGTTAATTATATAATAATTTACTTTACATAATACTCCAAAAAATATATACATGACAAAAATGTGGCACAGTTTATATGGTATTTTGCATTATATTGTTTATGTTTCTTGTTTAGAGTTACTATCGTAAAATTGTCTAATTATTTCATTTTTAGCTACAAATAATTTCATATATTTACTTTTTTCAATTTCTTGAATTTATTTTATATCCTGTATCAAATTGAGAAGGAAGCGAGTGTACTAAAATGTTTATAAGAGATGTGAAGTAAATTGGTAAATGGATAATGAGGGAAATTTATATCGTCAAAAATAAGGCAAAAACTTGTGGCAATCATCTAAATAGAATCGAGTGAACGAAAACTTTTAATTTACTGACTGTACATGTGTGTAGCGCTCATGTGCTTTTCCAAAAATAATTTATGCGGTGTTGATATGGTATACGTATTCAATTGTGTGCTGTTGTGTTTTTAATTTGATTGGTTTTTATATAAATATGACAAAATATATATTTGTTGAAATTTACAACTATTTTTTCATTTTATAATATTTTTAATTTTTCCTTTATACCTGTTGCTTATGACACATTCAGTATAATTTTTTTTGAAAATAAATTCGTTTAGAGTTTCGGTCAAGTCTATCATTAAGTGGTTTTACATTCATTTTTAAATATTTTGAATACATTGTTTTTATAATTCATTTGGTTTTAAAGATATGAATTCATATATACAATATATATATATACATATATATATATAGTATATTATATATATATAAATGTATCTTGTTCTGTTTGTAAATTTATACTGTATATTTCAATATATATATATGACCTAATTAACTGCACTACATAAACAAATTTGGATTTCTTCCATAATTTACATTTTTTTACACACACTGATGTGTATAGCTAATTTACATTGTATACTTATATATATTTATATATAACAGGGCTTTTCAAATAACAATATTTTATTATTGAACTATCCGTGTCCTTTGGCAATAATATTTTGTAATTTGTATTTTGTATGTATTTGAAAAATGTGACAGATTATCAAATATTGAATGCTGAATCCGCTACCAAGTACATTCAAGGCCAAATATTTTTTTTTTGAAATTATAAGTTATGTGCACCCACTCAAGATGACTGTGACAACATTACATGGCTTGTCTAATGATATGTGGAAAGTTTTAAGGTATTACTTTTAGCGAGAAGCATGATGTATGTATTTGTAAGTCCTATAAAAATTTCCGAATTTCAGATGGGAAATTTTTTCCGTACAAAACATTCGAAATTTGTTTTGTTGATTGATACAAAATATTGGATACGTATTTTTTTGGTTTGAAAGCGGGACTGATTATTTGTTTTAAGCTTTACTATTAACAACGAAAAAAATGTTAATAAACGTTCGGTTGCACCGAAGCTAGAATATCCTTCTCACATAAACAAGTTTCTATACATGAACTTGATTTTTGTCAGTCAGCTTGTTTGGTAGTGAACAACAATCCTGAAATAATTTAGAGAAATAAGGCCGAGTTGTCAGTCTTTGACTGGATAAAAATCCGTGTCCATTTATCGCTTTTGAGTGTTTTGGATATTAACATTATTATTAACAAAAATGTGACTGCAATTTCTTTAAAAATATAGATAGAATTTATTTTTAGTTGATACTGAAAACATTAACCCAGCTATTATAGAATATGTATGCTTGTATACATTTCATTATAATTAGTTCTCCAGCTTCATTAGTCCAAAACTAAGCCACCGCAAGATAACAGCAAGTAAAGGACGTGTATGCAACTATAATTTACATTCACATTTATGTTTTGAAGGCTTACTCGGCACTATACTTGCTTATTCTTGTAATACTCATATTCACAAACTATTAAAAGTAAATTATAACGAAACTAGTTATAATACTTTTTTTTATGTAATTGCCATCTGACATATAACGAAACTACATTAATATCAGCGGTTTGCGGTGCGCCCTTCTGATGATACCGTTACGTAACGCTAATTGCTCCATTTTCATTGCCGGAAGCGTTTGTATTAACATTAAGAAGGGCTGTATTGTCTGCAGCCAACACTGGCAGCGTCTTCGTCGTTACTATTGTTGTACCTGACATAGTCGTCGATGTCGCTACTGTTGTCTCTGAGGCATGGCATTTTAGCGCTGTCATATTTCCGACGCTCTCTGTACATGCCTTATCCTCAGCAGTAGTTTCAATTGCTTCAATTATTGTTGTTGAAGCTGCTTCGTTAGCTATAACATCGCTTGTAGTATTACGTTGCATACTGTTATTGGGTTTCACAACAGCAGCACTCAACACATTGGGTATGTGAACATTTGCTGCAGCCGCCGCCGCTGCCACGGAAGCCAAGTGATGACTAAATTGCTGAAAATGTTGGTTGAACAATGGTGGATCTGCATGCGAATGGCGGTGGGATGCATGATGGTGTGTTGGTGGCGTTGGCGGCCCAGTAGTCGTATGCAAATGGAATTGCTGCTGGTAATGTTGCTGTACTGGCGGTAATAAACACGTCGTTGCTAACTGCTGTTGTTGAGACGATGAGGCGGTTGAGGATATCCGTAAGGCTAGTTGTTTTGGCAGTTGTTGATTGTTATGATTATATTTCTTTGTTGCGATCCCGTTAGTATTGCTACTAGATGCAGTTGATATATTATCAAAACATGATGAATTGCTGTTGTTGTCAGCCGTTACAATGATATTCTTAAAATTATTGTGAGTAGTTGTCACAATATTTTTATTGGTATTGCTTGTACTTTCACTGCATTTCGTCAGCTGATTAATGCTGAGCGGGTTGTTGATATCATGTGGATTAGCGCCTATAGGGTTTCGTTGAGCAGGAGCAACTGCCTTTTCGAAAGTATCGCCAACAGGTGAAGACGGCGCAGATGAAGCGGACGATGAAATGCTAGATTTTGCCACCGCGGCTGGTAAAGGTTTGACTGTGACGCTGACTAACTGTGTCGACGTAACTGCCATTGAATTATTTTCACAAGCACTGTTATTGCCGGTGCTATTGGTAAAAGACGGATCGCTATTGTTATTGAAGGAAATAAAACCATTTAAGTCGTCATTAGCTCTATTGCCCACGGTGTTGGTGGTTGCAGTGTTGGGTGCAGTGCTGGATGATAACTTATTGCCATTTGAGAGAATATGTTCTATGGAAACTATAGCTCCTGCGCTTGATTCTAGGCCGCTTGGTGGAAAGCAATTGTTATTCAGCAATAGCCCGGGAGGACTAGTATTCAAAAGTGAACGCATAGTGCGTTCTGTGAAGGCGGGCGTGGTTGTCACACCAGACGCTGATGATGAGGTATTTATTAGAGTGTTGCTGCTGTTAATACATATGCTACTGGAGCTCTTATTTGACAGAGATGGAGATATAATTGTGCTCCTCCCGACGCCAATGCTACCACTACAGATAAACGATCTTCCGGCATTCTCGTAAATACCGTTGTGTGAGGATGTAGTGTGTGGATGCGGTTGATGTTGCTGCAGAAGGTGCTGATGATGACTTAAATGAATTTGATGTTGGCTCGACTGTTGCATACGAATTTGTTGAGCTGCTGAATCGATACCGCTGTTCGGTTGTTGTAGTTGCTGCTGACTTTGAACATTCTGATCTTGTTGACTGTCAGCAAGTCCAAATGGCAGACCGACCGTTGAGGGCGTTGCAGGACTAGGGAGCAGATTTAATGGACTAGCCATACTGGTAGACGGGCTCTGAAGACTAGATAAACCGCTTTGGCAGCCCGGACTAGATAGGGAATGATTCAGCGATTCGGTATCATCGTCAGGTGTTTTGTGGTTGTCATTAATACTGCCTGAACTACCCAGATTATCATCACTAGCATTGTCATCCAGATCATCCAAATCCTGAAAGCTATCATCTTTGGTGCCACTGATACCGGCACTACCTCTCAATCCTTCCATATAGCGTATGCATTTCTTTTTACGTCTGAGCATTAGAATGAAAATGATACATATAAGCCCATAAAGAAAGAGAAAAAGTAAATAATTAATAATTGGAAGTTATTAGAGACACACATACCAATGCAAATTTACATATTAACTAAACTTTTACTTTTGGAATTATTTTCTTAATCTTCCAGCTGTTTTATGGCTTCTTATTTAGATTTAAATGTTTCATATGTAATATTTACTTTGCAAAGGTTTGTGCTTTTAATGAGGACTAGTTGTAAAACGTATGCATAATTATAAATGTATACACACATATACATACATACATTTGTATATTATTGATATTTAAAAAGTAAAATATGCGTAAAAATAATTAATAAAACGAAATCTTTTAAGGCAATATTCTGTCTAAAGCCACAAATTCAAAAAAGCGCCAAATACGCGTGCATCATGCGACATTTATAACGGTGTATATTTAAAACCAATCAATTCTCATAGAATGTTATGAATTACTTTAAAATCAATAAAATAAAAAGCCAAAATTCCCCAAATAATATTTTTAAAAAGCTTAAAATTGCGAAGCGAGTTTAAAGCAACACTGCATAGCGAACTTCGAATCAGTCGTTCCAGCTGTCGGAAATTTTGAATTTCAACGATAATGTAAAAAATACCATTAATTTATGAAACACATATTTATGAAACACATATTTATTAACATACGAAATTGTCATTTAAGAAACAGAAAATACTAAATGCACCATGTATACCTGTAAGTCTATAGTCAACCAGCGTTGGATTGATTTTTAACTATTTTTAATATTAATCGTTAAAGACACTGTACTAGACTATCTATCCAAAGCGAGAAAGTATCAATATTTTAGTATGATTAATGTTACCAACTTCTTGTTGGGTTAAACTAGGTTATCGTAATATGGACCTCACTTAGACAGCTTTCAACACCATTGTGATATTAAAACTTTATCATAGCTTCAACTTCATTGTGGTAGAAGTTTGTTAATGGAGGAGAAAGTGCGTACGTGTCTTTTTACATTTAAGAAGATGTAGCTTCTTGGGTATTTGATCGTTAATATATTGTCTTCCACAATAATTAAATTGATTGTATTACAAGTTGTTATAAAATCATGTCATCAGTAGCGCATGAATTTTCTAACCTCAATTTTGCTTCAATAAAGAGTCTTCAATGTACTCTGCTCAATCGAACTGTAATCAGAGAACCTAACAATTATAATATAGCACTCAACATCGTCGAATGCAGAAGGAAGTTTGTTTGACAATCTGAATTTGTTTATTAATTTAACCACCAGAAAAAGAGTGGTAAAAAATAAATGGAAAAGGTCTTAAAACTTAAGATATTATGTTTTAGGTGCTATTATATTATCCAACACGTTGAAGTTAGCGCTACAAATATACATATGAACTACGATTTGAAACCTGCATATTTATTTTCCTAAAGTCATAATATATTCCCGGCTTATACCGCAAATAGAACATAAAGATCCACATAACTCTCTTAAAAAGTAAAGGCCATGGTTTTGGGAAATTTTAACTTTTTGCCTTAAAAACAAGTTATGTTTTTTTAACAAAGTCTGTGGATTAGTAGAGAAAATGTGCAGAAACAATGAGAATTAAAAACAAAAATATATATTTACGTACAAAATATTGATAATGTAAAATAATACCAGCTTTGTTTTTTTTATTATAAAAAAATATATAAAATTTGTTGTAATGACCTCGGACTGATTAGAGGTAAGGACGCTGGTAGTACCAATTTCCTGGCGTAGGGGGTACTCGGACAAGCTTTTAGCAAAGATATGTGAAAGTAGTCAAGCCACTTAGCTCAATCATGCATAATTTTTGGTAGGCGCATTGAAACGCAGGAAGAATGAATACTTGCAGATTTTTACTTCATACACATATGGTATACGTAAGTATTATATTTAGGGATACTCCTCTAAAATGTATACATTGTAGCATAACAATCCTTGTGGGCCGTTTGAAATATAATCAGTGATTGGTTTTACAATTATATGCGTAAAGTAATCGACAATAAAGTATTAGTAATCATGCAATTGTTCCAAATTCAACACAGCACTTATAATAACAAAAATTCTTAAATTTATAACATACCAAAAGTGCATAAGTTTTTCATTTTAAAACAACATCCAAACAACAATTGCGTGTATATTGAAAGAAAAAATGACAAAATTAATGCATAAAATAATTTCTGTCCTTTTGATGAGATAAATAATCCATACTTTATGTGTACATAACTACATGTATTGGAAAGCATTGCGCCAACGCGAAGTTTTCTTGTATTTTCGTTCTTTTGTAAACACCGTAAAATATACTAAATTCCACTACTAAAAGTATGTTTAAGTAAATAACATTTTAAATATTATTAAAAAATAAAAATATATTAACAACATACAACAATATAAATATATTTGTTAACATCAAAGGAACTACGTAGTCATAGGTTTTATTGTATTCTCAGAACAAAATATTTTTAATAAATACATATGATCATATTATAGATGTAGATACCTGATTACCCTATGGGCTAGTGACATACCTATGTATGATATCTATTTAGTCATAAAATGTTATTTTCTCAGGTGATTTTGATCTGCAAAGATCAAATAGGAAGACTAAGGAATAATAACAAAGATCTACGAAAACATTTTTTTGGAGCCTTTAATTATTTTTTATAATATAATTTTGTTAATTAGCCCACAAAATGTCGCGCGAAACTGTTAAAATCTTGAAGCTAGATTCAGGTTTCGTATCGATCGATAATAGTGAATGTCATAATTATAATGAATTATTACTTTATATTTTTTTCTATTTAGTAATATCGATACGCCGTCGTTAAGAAAGTATTGTGTAAATAGTCCAAAAAATTTTATTGCATTTGTCGTGAATATGTAAGTAAAAAAGTTGGAAACCACTAACAGATTCAGTATCGAAGCTATAATACGATTCACAAATAAAAAAGTTTCCAAACAAGGGTTTTATTTTGATCGGTCTGTTTGCATGGCAGCTATAATCTATAGTGGGCCGATATTCTTCCGACCAAGCTTCTTTATGAGAACAGGACGGGTGCAAAATTTCAGAGCCAAATCTCAAAAGATGAAGGACTAGTTCGTATATATACAGAGTTGCGGACAGACAGACCAACATAGCAGAGTTAGTTCAAAACATTTTAATTAGCTTTAAATAGAAAAGTAAACTACCACATTTTTCATTGTCTGGAGCTCGAGGAGAGTATAGCTGTACTCAGATCCTTGTGATGTTCTGTAGAGATCGATTGAAGTGAGTCTAGAATGGTCTTTAATTTAAAGATACCTGTAATCTTTAAAATAATGTATATGCATTAAATGTTTTGATTGAAATGGATTTAAAATTTTTTACACTTGCTAAAAATCGAAAAATATTAGGGTACCGAATTCACTTGTAATCAGTTTACAATCAAAATAATAATAGAAATGTGTAATCACTGCTTGATAATTTTCGCTCCTGACTAATTTAGGAGTTACACTAATTTTATTATAAAAAAATAAACATCAAGATTCATAGAAAATACTTATTAACTGCTGTTTCAATATCAGTTATGATATTTATACTAGTATCAATTTCGTGAGCAATTAAAATCAAAAGTTTAGAAATTCTATACATTAACTTTCCACTACGTTATATATAAAAGTAGGTTTGTATATGATGAGAATCTTATCTAGTTAGATAAAAAATGGCAAATAAATAAAGGGCTACCAGCAACATAGGCGCGTCTAGCGACGAAAACAAATTTATATTTGGAGGGAACTTAATCGAACAACCTATACGAATTGTTCAAAAAACAGGCAACACTTGTGGTGCAACTCTGCGCTGGCATGTCCTCTGACCCATGCATGGTGGTGAAAAAAGTATTAGTAATACCTTACTTCTGTTTTGTATGATTAATTAGTTTTTAATTTTGAGAATAATTTCCCCTTTGAGCCATCGAGAATAGTAAAACTGGCCTAAATACACAAAATAAATCTTCGTAGCATTGGAGATGCCACTTTAATGATAGCTTTTTTGTTACTTTTACACGACAAGGGAGCAGGGCGCAGAGAAAGTGAACAGAAAAATAGCTAATATTACAGGGCATCTCGACAGACAACTTACATTGCTAACAATCTGTCAAATACATACATTGCCATTGAGGCTCTCTCGTGTGTGCATTTGATATCATGAAATTATAATCATTCATGGGTATGTAGGTTCGAGCTGATATAGTTCATGCTTTGAGCTTTTGAATCCTTTCAAAATTTAATGAGAATAAGAAAATTTATATGGAAAATTAAAAAAAGAAGTGTCCTTTTTTCTTCTTCAAATAAAAATTTAATATTTTAAAACTAAAATAATTGTTGCATAATATTTACTTACTAATTAATTAATAAATTTAATATATGAAATTATATTTATGTATGCTAACAAATACCTTTATATTTTAATGATTGAAATAATATATTTTAAACAATTAGGTATCTAAAATTGCCGGTCGAAATGCTCCTTTAATTAAAAGCTGATCTCCTTTGCAGGTATGGATAATAATTTACCCGCTTTATGGTATATTGTTTTGGTCGATGTATTTTTAGCCCTTAGTTGATGAAAAATTTTGTTTTAATATTCAAATTTCATATATCAAGTGTGTTCAAATTAGTAGACACAATATCATTATATACAAATGCATAAATAATATATATTTTAATATACTATACATATTATATGAAAATGTGAAGTTGAAAAGTAATGCCATTTAAAACACTTGTATTTCTATAGCCCGTTATTAAAGTTGAAAGTACAATATCTCATACATATGTTATCGCCAGGGCACTTCATGCAATTAAATAATTCACTCATAAGTGATAACAAAAATATACATATATACGAGGATGAAATGTACAGCTGTAATTTTTTTAAATACGTACAATTGTAGTGAAGTTGAACATAAACAAAACACAAATAACATAATAA